ATAAATAAAAACAAAAAAATGAAATAGTACCAAAGTTTTGGGGTAGCAACTGAAAATTTTGAAACATTGATTTATTCTCATTTGAATTTTAAGTTAATAACTTTATCTGTATAATGGTATTTTTTATGCATTTTTGAATGTTTTCTAGTTGTAACACCTGTTACTTTCGTGAGTTTACACACAAAAGAACATAATTTTAAGAATGCTTCGAAAATTTCTTATTTATTGTTTTCGCGATTATTAAAAAAAATTACGCTGTTTTTTTGGTTTTTTCAATACACCCAGATGAATGTCGCCATATTAGAATAATTCTTTACACAATTGATGCAAATTTTTAGAATAATAATGAGCTTGCAAACACGGGTTTTTGAATCATTAAAATGAAATCCGTCGTTTGCAAAAAAAGCTAAAACTTTTCATTCAGGTAAATCATGGCAACGTTTTTGAAGTTGCAGGAACTGTAGGCGGGATTTTGTTCATTAGGGGAACGCTACTTATATAAATTAGTTTATTTTCCGCCTTTTGTAAAGTCGCGCGAACGTCGCGACGCGTCTCTGTTCCAGACCGTTTCAATTTAGGAATGAAATTAAAGGATTTCTTTGAAACTTAATTCGCCCTAGGTAAGGAATTTTAATAGCCGGCGGTGAATGTAAATAAGGAAAGTTCTTAATTTGGTAATTCCTTAAAGGTCCTAATCCACTTCTAGGTGAATGAAGGCTTAATTAAAGGAACTGTCGCTCTAGATGTTCTTCTTATATCTATGTGTGTTTGCTGGCTATTAAATTTGAAAATGTACTTGGAAATGAGGGTTTTGATGAAGACTTTTTTTTGCAGTTTGTTCGATAATTTTTTTTCAATAGATGTCGGTTTTTTTATAGCTATCAGCGTAAAAATCACATTATTGGCTTTGTTTTTAGACGTTTCGTTTTACAGAAACCAGCATCAAGGTCCCTTTCTAAAGCAGACCCTTTTTGTTCATTAGCAGAGTTTAGAACGCCTTGTTTTTGACAAACTCAAATGAAACGTTTTCCGCATAAAAGACGATGAAAACGTTTGCAGCTCGAACTCATGTAAACCACCGCTGGATACCAAAGTTGATGTTAACCGATTCGTCATCGAATTAGAAGTTCAAGCCCCTATATTTATGGCCTTACCCCCTTATGAAAGCCAACATTCAAATACAACGAACCGCATAAGCCCAAACTCTCGATGTCGTTAAGGTGGCGCAAAATACGGGCGACATTCGCTCATTCCCGTTTTCGGATCGATTTAAAAATATTTTGACCGCAAGAAATGGTCCTTTGTGCGGCCGAGATTTGCGGATAATGGGCCATATTCAGGGGGCTTTATGTCGAAATAGGTGTAATCCTATATTCTTTAACGATGGCCTTTATGTGCGGCACAATAGTCCTGAGTCAAAACATTCAAGTTTAGTGGATTATCTGATTTCCCTCAATTTATTTTCCTGCAAATTATCTGAACGGGAATGGGAATTAATTGCTTTGATATGTTTTTGGATTTCCAATTAGATAAATGTGGAGTAAGCATACGTATACCAAGAAATTGCTTTAAAGTGAAAAACCAGAAACTTATGCCGAATAAAGACAAGTAGTTCAGGTAATATAAGTAAAATGTTTAATGTTTAAGTCGCAAAACAAGGCCGAAAAAGTAACCAGTTTTTAATGCCGGTATATATATTATATACACTACGCACTTTTCCCCGATTTGTTGATCAATAAAATGGGCGAAATGCTTTGACGGTTCAAGAAATTATTGGACAAATTTTACAAGCAAAACTGTTAAGTTTATTTATAAGAAAACGAAAAATTTCAGAAGTTGAAATATATTTCTTCAGTTTCAAATGGGGAAATTGTACAAAACCCAAGTATGGATCCGGCAAAGGTGTCAAAATTTCAATATGTAGAAGTATGCAATAAGTGTAGGGATGAAGAAAACTTTTTCTACTTACAAAAGTATCCTTCATTCAAGTAGTTCATTGCATTAAATTTTATTTGAAACATTTTTAAAACTTATATTTTCTACCCCACTGAAAGGATTTTGTGCATTTTTAATGCTGTTTTACATCTTCTTTGGCTTTTCTGTGAGAATTAATTTGCTTTTAAAGCGTTTTACATTTTTTCGACAATTTTAGTGCTTTAATCCGGACTCTACTGCATACATATGAACATAAAGCGTGGAATCGGGCTGCGATAGAAAAATCGCGCGACTTATCGCGAAATTAGAACATGTTGAAAATTATTGCGGATTGTGATAATTTTATGGACATTTTTGCTTGTATTCCATAAGTTCAGCAAATTAATAATGAATCTTAGTCGCCTCTTTGGAGGCATAAGCAAAAAAAAATAGGTCTTTGTTTATGCTCATGATCTTCACATTGTTACCAACACAAAACAGCAGACCCAAAGTTCAAAACTTTTGAAATGTACGTTGATCTTGCTGAGATTGCTCCAATGTATTGTGAGAACAGATAAGCCCACTTTATTGGCCAATAAATCGGTGAAAAGTGCGTAGTGTAATACCGTCCAAACTAATGTTACTTGAAACTGGTGATTTGTTCAGGTTTTTGGGCCATCGTGGAATAGAATGTCTTCCTGATGTTTCGCAAGTACAAGTGGCGAGCATCCCACGTTTGAAGATGCAAGCCACTAGTGCTTGCGAAACGTCAGGAAAATATCTTTTCCACGGCCCAAAAGCCCGGAAAATCCAGTTTTTAAATAGCTCAAATAAAGTACAAAAGAAAGCAATTCTTTACTGGAAGTTCGGAAGCAACCGATATATTTTCATTCTCTATCAATCGCGCATTACAGGTTTTTTGTAAAAAATGTTTTTCTGTTGTAAATCTTTTTAAACTTGGCTGCTTCAACACTAGCTTTTGTGTGTTTGTTTCTCAGGGGATGTTCAGGATACGATTTTTTGTTTTCAACATTGTGGATGTTGGATTCTCGGCCCAATTCTCCCGAGCACCACGTTTCTTTAATTTTGGAAGAGACTTCGAATTTGGCTATCCAAAATGTTTAAAATTTTCACATCAGTTTGAACATTTGTGGGTGAAAGCCTGTAAGTTTTCGGAAGCAAATCGTTCGCCGACATTCTCTACACACATGTCCCGGGTACAGATATCAGATATTCATGATCTATTGTGAGCGGGATAAAATCCCAAATGCCTCACTTTTTCTATTGTGGAACGATGTGTGTATTCGAAATCGTTGACAGCCACTTAACATAGGTGTAAAGAAGCACAATGGGCCGCTAATAGACACGAGGAAGTAGCATTCAGTTTATGAGATTACAGGATTAGAGGGCAGGGGGTCGTTACCGCAGTAATTCGATACTTTCATTGGGCTCACAGAGGTGCCTTCTGAACCTTCCGGAAGGTGTGCAAGATTCGGGCATTAATTTACCAATGAAACGTGGTTGTAATATTAGCAAAAGCATTTGTTTGGAGTTAAGATTGTTTCATTAATTAATTATGATAAAATGACACTGGTCGGCTTAAATAGTCTGAACAACTAGGCAGACAAATGCACTCTGAATTGGGAAAAACAGCAGTCTCTTTTATTATTGCCGGTAGTAAGGAAGTTTTGGTCAAAAACTGATGATTCCGAAAATGAGTGGCGAAATTTTATGATCACGTCAAATAGAGAACAAAAAAATCCGGTAGGTCTATAATTTGCCCAAAAAGACGTGGGATATAAAGCCAAACACGAGATACAAAAAGTAGTTTTCCGTATTTACACGAGAGTTTTCAATTATATATTTTTTCAATCTAATGCACATACTTAACTATTGGAGCCCTAAAGTTTCATTATTCTCCATTCACTTCCAGTGTCTTAAAAGTGAAGTTAGAGGTTTTTTAATTAAAACTGGTAAAAAGTACTGGTAAGTACTTTGATATAAAACTGGTAAATTTGGTAAAATCCAACCATATACGAAAAGTACTGAACTAAGAATTTATGAAAAATCATAAAAACTCATTTTGCACTTCAACCGTTGAACTGATTTCCTAATTGCACCATTATTTCAGCTTTTAAAAAAACTGAAGTCAATTTATTTCTCATTGAGAATCGTGTTCTCATTTGAAAAAGTTTAGTGATCATGAAACCTTGCAAAGCAACTTTTTCACAAGTAAAAAAAAATATTCCTTTCAAGAGTGCACATTGAGGTGTTAACATAAGCCTAGAGCCCAAAGAAGTTTCCAGTTTCAATCAATGGCTACCAAACCCTAATTCTTTTGAAGTGCAATAATATCTGCAAATAAAAAATTCGTAACTCTGAAAAAACGTATTTTTCTCGTTTTCCTTCTATAACTCAAAGTGACATCGATTTTTTACATTTTGCCCTTTTCCTCAGTTACCTACTCTTCAATTGAATTGCACACTTAAAACTTTCTTATTCACATCTATTGCTGCCCTATATTGTAAAATCTTTTTCTAATTCATTAATTCAAGCTGCAATTGAAGTCATAAAATTTAAGTAATTTTCAAATTGCCAAAGCTCAGTTTAAAAAAATCCGAATTTTCGTCAAGCGTTTAAGAAAGAACGACTTTAGTTTAATGAGTTAAAACTAGTAAGAATCTTGGTTTTTCTTTGCGTAAAATATTACTTTAAATTATATCCAGAAGCCAAATGTTGAATTTATATTATATATCACATTGACTATATTTGACATATTTGTGATATACTACATTTGACATTGACACATATTATATATATATCACATTGACTAAGATTAAATTCCGCTAAATATTTTAACAATAATCCAATTGCCAGTTGCGCTCTATGCAAAGCAACCAAAAAAGTAATTCCAAGCTTGTCAAGAAACTAACTAATGTTTTCAGTAGTGTCTCAAAAAAATTAGGTTAAAAAAAGACTGTTCTGGTGATTTGAAACACTTATGAATAATAAGTAAACTCATGAGTGTTCGTAATATTAAACAAAACTTTAACGAATTAATTGAATTAAATATATTTTTGTTGCAGGTCTAGCCCAGTTTAAAAACTCATTTAGTTCCTCAGGTCCTGGTTCCTGTTTATCGGGTAAGTTCGATTTTTTTAGACCTGTTTCGGACTGATTAAGGCACTAAGAACTTCTTAAAGTCGCCCAACATGTGTTTTGTTAATTAGTTTTTGCAACTTTATTTTGTGTTTTCGACCTAAAGATTTTCCAATGGTATTGATCCACTTGATTCAATCCAAATTTTTAGTTTTTTATATTTTTACCTTAAAGAACACTTGAAATTAAGCACTTTCAGCGAAAAAAATTCCTGGATGTTCCATAAATTAAGTCAAAAAAACTTTAGAAATTCGCTTTTCCAAAACCACTTATTTATGCACGACAATCAGATTGTCGGGTGTTTTTGCTGTTAAATCGTGCTTTAGGAATCAACAATTCATAACTCCACATGCAAAATTGTAACTAAGATGCATAATAATTGTGTTTTTCGCAAAAGTTTGAACATATTTTCTAACGTCGCCAATTGATTGAGGTTATCTAGCGCATCGTTAATCAGAGGGCGGATTATTTGTCTCTTTCGGGAATTCAAGACACGTGGCCGTGTTGCCACGTATTTTTGCTTTGTTTTCCTTTCGATTAATTTTTAGTGAGTTTGTTTGTGTTGGCATGGCTGAGGTGAAAATAACCCGAAGAGACCTAAGGAATTTAAACCGACCCAGATTGGATGAATCTACATGCTAGATATCCAAGGAAACAAGTTTCATTAAATTAAACGTTTTGCGCGGTTTGGCAACACAGCTCGAAATTTAGCCTGAAAATGTTGATTTTCCTCAAACTTTGTGAGTGTGTTTTGGCTTAATTTATGGTTCATTCAGGAATTTTTTCCTTGCAACTGCTTAATTTAAAGTGTTCTTTAAAGTAACACAAGAAAAGACTAAAAATCCGGAGGGGCTCAAACGACACGATCACCTTGATGCACTTTGTAATATAATTAATTTTCCATTGTAAAACAAATAGTGATCGCAATTAGTTGTGACTTTTCAAAGGCGTTCGACAGGCGTTACGTTCAATTGGTATTTCAAATTTCTCTTTATTTGGTGCTTAGTGGTGGTGCTTAGGTGCAAGTTAAATTAATGAAAAAGTAGTATATTTTGCCTTTTTTGATTGCAAATAAGAATTTTTCATAGAGATTTGAAGATAAAAAAGTCAAAAGCTTGTACAAAAATGTTAGTTTGCCAAATAGTGTGTTTGTCGCTCAATGCGGGGGGACAAAATTTAAATTTTTTGATACAAATTATAAATTAATTGCAAGGAAACACACGGAAAAGCCAAAATGAACTGATTTTTGGTGTTCGAGTTAATGAGCGAATAAAATATTATTTGTATCAGTGTCTACGGATGACCTAAAAAACTGTGAATTCATCGAAAATAGAAATAGGACTACTTTTTAATTGCCTGTTTAGCTATTTTGTAAAAATCGGTTAAAAAATACTTTTTAGTCTCGTGTGTCTATAAAAAGGTGTACACTGATGAAGAGTAGAAAGGTGATTTTTAGGGCTAAATCGTGGTATTGGGGGAAAACTCTTCATTTTTGAACTTCTTATGTGTCTCAATGAAATACCATTTTATTCTCTTTAGAAAATAATTTGGAAAAATCTGGGAGCCTCAGGTGTTTTTAGAAGGCGCAAATTATATTCTCTACATTGTTCAGAAACAATTCTAGGAGCTTGTTGAAATTTTTCTGCAAAATTCCATCACACCACATACGGAACAATGGAAAAACATAGCCGCCAACCAACGTATAACCAATCCGCACTGAATGATTGAATAATGATTAATTAGGAAGTCGAGGAACACTTATCCAGGAATTGGGAATAAGTGCTCGGGCCTTGTTTAATTGCAAACCGAAGTGACAATTACGACAGTTTCTCTCTGCTAATACGGTAATGTTATAATTGGATGCTCGCAGCTATGGGCTCGTGCTTTTGTTCGAACTTCCAGAGAGAGTTTTCGTTAACGGGGTCTCGTATTGAGTGGAGTTGGTCGGTACCCGAATTGTCGATGCATAGTAATTATATGGAAACAAACGTTTATTTTATTTGACTTTCGGTGTCGATCAACCATAATGAGTTAACAAGGAAAAAGGACCGGGTGGGCAGAGCGGAGTACTTAACTTTCGACCAGAAAATGAGCAAAAACATTTTAATTTTTTTTTAACAGTGGATTCTTTAATATGTCAATTACGCCTTCTTGTCTGCAAATATTTCAACAAGCTCCAAGAATTGTTTCTGAACAATGTAGAGAATATAATTTGCGCCGTCCAAAAACACTTGAGGCTCATAGATTTATCCAAATTATCTACTAAAGAGAATAAACTGGGAGGCACATATAAGAATTATCTCCCATTTAGCAGTAGGTGAGTTCAAAAATGAAGAGTTTTCCCAATGCCCCGATTTCGTCCTAAAAAGCACCTTTCCACTCTTTACCACTGCACTGTAATTTTTGCTAACAGTGGATTTCTTTACATGTTAATTACGCCTTATTGTCATGTTTTACAAGTAGAAAGAGAATAACTATGGGTTAAAAAAAGTGAGCTTTACCCTAATCTATTCCATTGGGGGAACAGGATGGGATGGACTAGAACTGCAATAGAATTGCAGACTGCAACATTCTAGATACCTAATTATTTTCCAGTTTTCCACAATGTTACCTTATTAAGTTGTTTTTTCTTTGCCTCTATTCTACCTGGCTGATTGTCAACGCCAATTTTCCTTTTTACAGTTATTTCTTCGTTTACGCGACTTTATTGTCTGTCCATCGCTTCTTCAGCTTCCTTTTCTTATGCAGTTAAGTTACGGTTTAAAATGAATCTTAGTAATATTGAATATTGACTTTAAGACCTGGTCGCTCTTCAACTTGTTGTATATAATTGATTGTGTTCACTAGAATTGCCAATGCTTTTTTAAATATTCAAAGTAGAAGTTGAACTGTAAGGCCCGGTTCCACCAAGAGTGATTAAATTCTTGGTTAACTAATCACAATCATTTTTTAATCACCACTATAATCATGATTAAATTGTCATGCGTTCCACAACAAAAATTTTAACTCCGGTTAGATAATCATCAGTTTCATCGGGTAAGATCGTATTTCCTTTGAATCCACAGTTCTGATTGGTTCAAACAACTGACAGATCAACTGAAATAATTTTCGCTCAAAATAGTAATCACATGTCGCTTGAACATTGATAGAGAAATATCCTTTTCTATTACGAAATACTTCTGCGTTGTCTCCCCCAAAGGATTGTACTTTAATATGAGTACAATCCTTCACTGAAATAAGTTTGGGAAAACGAGCTAATGCATAAAAAATTACTTGTGCTGCACTTATTTCCCTTTTTGTAGATGGGAGTTTAATGTCATTTCGAGCTAATGTGGCTATTGCAGCAGTAATTCGATGTTGACTAGTTTTACTTACTCCAAAGAAGTCTCCAGCAGCAATAAGATGCGTTCCAGTTGCATAATGCCTCAGCACAAGTAAAAGTTGTGTCATGGGTTGACTAGTGTTGTTTCCAAAAAATCCATTTAATGAACATGTGGCAATTTTACTATTATTCATTTATCATAATTTTCTGTAGTGTGTTACAGGTCTATTTCTATTTCCAGCAGTAATGTTTGGACAGTGTTTTTCGATAAGCGAAATAGCGTAAAGGAACTCAAACTCAAAGACTCGCGGATTAAATTTTCGGGGTCTTCTAACAACCTGAATGTCACTATCCTCATCAGACGGGGATAAAACATTGCCATAAAACAAATCCAACGTGTGTTTACTTAAAATTGTTGCTAATCGTGATTATCGTCAATAACCAGCCATTTTAGAAGATTAAATTAACCACTGATTAAGTGTCCATAATCGTGGTTAAAATTATGGTGGAACGCAAAGTGTTTCGCAATAGTTTTAATCAATGATTCACATTTTAATCGGAGATGGTGGAACCGAGCCTAAGGGTGATATTATACAATCTTGTCTTACTCTTTCTTGATTTTTAATATTGTCTCCTTTGTTTATTAGATATAATTTGTAACTGATTAATGACATAAATAATATGTCATTAATAAGTTGACCCTCAAACTTTTGGAAAATTATTCTCTGGTACCTATATTCATTCCATTTGTTTTTTACACAGTTGATTGCATAATTTTCCAATGAATTTGTATCCAAAAAAGCGACATCAATTGTTATTAAAAGTTGGATTCGAAGAATTATTTAAATCCTACATGTAATTATTCTGTTATAAGCAGGTGATTTAAAAAGGAAAAATTCACCCTCGCAGCCCGTTAACGGTTGAAATAATCTAGCAAATAAATGCCCTCCATAAGTACTTTGATGGCGCTCTAAACCGTTTCTTGGAAAATAAAAAACCATTCCGTTCTTAGTCTCACTAATAATCCCGTTGGAAACTGAAATCTGCTTCTCAAGACCACGAGCGCATTGAAAACAAAAACCTGCAAAAGAGCTTTTATGTAGAAAAAAAACGTAATTATTAGGATTTAACAGGCTGTTAGCCCAAGTCAATCGACCGCGAACGTATAATAGCTTAGTTTCGTGTAGTGGCGGATAAAAAGGAACGTAACGACTACCGAGAAGTTTTAAAGGATATTATTTTATAAATTGCGTGAACATTTACGAGTTTGAGGGCTGTTTGTTAGTCGTTCTGATTTGGATATTGGCGAAATTAAATGTGATAGCAGTACTGAAGAAATATGTAAATAGAGGCCTGTTTGTGGAGCCCGATGTGAAAACAATGCAAGGGATTTTTCACCTCCTCAGTTTCCTAATCTCCTCAGTTTATTACAACTTGTTAACTCTGCTTATATCGCAGTTTTTATGGGGGATTTCATGGTTTATTGCAGCGTCAACTTAAACTCACCCTTACAGCGATAAACGGCAGAATATTGGACTTTAACCATAAAAGAACATCAATGCACTCAAAAAGTACAATCATGAGATTTACCAAGAAGTGACTTGACTCTGTTTTTAACTCAAGAGATTGTATTAGTAACGGCTTTAATCATTCAACCCACAT